ATTAACCTGAGTCTTGAAGAATTCAGCGTCTGGTTACTGGTAACAGTGTAACTACGAATCAAACGTTGATTTTCTGGTGTAATTCGGTGCGTCGTAGTTGCTTTTACTACACTTTGTAATAGCTTAGATTAATAAATATATATATACCAACAGATGCACAGAAATTGTGCAAGCAAAAGTCCACAATCCGCTACCTGTGGTGTCCGAAGTGAGGCACAAGTCCACAGAGCCATCACCAGAGGCATTGAGGGATTTTCCTAGAGAAAAACACTAGGAAAACCTTAAAAGTGCACCCCATTTCTTCAGTGTTTTTGTATGAATTGTGTTAGAACCTTAATAAATGTTGGTTTGCTTTTGGTTTTCCTTCAATGCTTGGGAAAACACTGAAGAAATGGGGTTGACTTCTAAGATTTTCTTAATGTTTTTCTCAGCAGAAAATCCCTCAGTGCTTCCTGTGCATAGGTGGCATTCTTGTTAAATATAAGCCTCTCGACATCTTGGAAATATGGATCAGGTTATTTCTAAGAGTTGGCTATGTGGCCCCACAGGTGCCCATTGTCGCAGTAACCTACGTCTCCCCCAGCTAACTTTTAAGCGCCTCACGTAATCTGTTCCCGCGCGTGATAGTTTGGCTTTCCTTTGTTGGTGTAGTGTGAAGTAGCTTGAAATGATGACTTTGCGTAGGGTTGTACTGGTGTAATGGGTGTCAACAGGTAGCTGTGGTTCCTATGTAGGACTTATGCAGAGGTTCGAGTCGTGTCCCTCCATGTATTTTTGTGTGTCGTATATACTTAGAAAATAATTTTTATTTTAACTGGGACTAGCTCAGCCTCCAAGAATTTTTTTTAGTGTTTCCAATGCAGTCAATTGTCGTTTTTTTTAGGTAATACAATTTCGGTCTAATGAATAAATTTCTCTGAGTTTTCTTGGAGTTTCCTGCTCATCCATTTTAGGTAGGACCTTACGGAATCTCACACTTCAGTCTCCCGTATATACGGAATGATGAAAAAAAGGGTTTTCTTTTTTTCTGCATACTCAAATATAGCGCAGAAACTTCACCCAACCAACCTACTACAGTAAATGTGGGTTGTTGGTGGGTTGACACCTGCTCCTTGCCTGTTTTCTCAATGCTCTCTTGATCTAGAGATGGAACATAATGACACCATATCCCAAAATTGCAATTTTTATTTTACTCTATTTTTTCGTGTTTTATCCCAATT